CACCCACCACACTGAGGCCCTGTTTTGGTACTAAATATAGAAATGACAAAAATGTCATTAAATGGGTCCTTTAATTAAAACAAGTGAACCTGTTTTTTTAGTTCCTCGTCTAATGAATGACCTCCCGCTAAAAAAAGAGATCTGTTTTCGGCAATTGCTGGAACGTAATTTGATGTCAAAGTCGTGGTAAAAGAATGTGCCCAAGCCAGCGGCTCACCGACACAGCAGTTCTGACTGCGAGATACTGGGAGCGGCTTGCTGGATTTAGAGAGTTTATCAAAAGTGTGTCAGAACTCATTGCAAATTTATATTCTTTTTCTTTCGTGTTTCAGACGAATTCATCGGTGAAGCCATCGTTTACATCGAGGATCTGCGAAAGACTCCCAGCAGTCGCCAGATTCTTCGCCTGCACCCCCAACCTGGCAACTTTGAGTACAACACTGGCACTGTCACTGCTGAGGTAAGCATTTTGAAATGTGCGGCATCGTGGTGGAATGAGACGCTCGTCAAAAGGAAGAAATCGTAAAGACGCGACATTTTTCTGCTCATTAGGCTATTGTGAGGCAGCGTAGTGGAATCAGGCTCTTGTAAAAATAATTTAAGTGATGAAACTTGCGTTTTTCCGCAGGTTTGTGAATTTTTGTCAAATTTTTTGGTTTTTTGGCTCTACACCTTTCATGCCCATTAAAAAACTCATTACTGTCTGGGTTTTTCTGAAAAACGTTGATTAAAGGCACAAAATGTAAATTTTCAGTTACCACGGACTCTTAAGCTAAGGAAATAACTAATCTTTGGCGACTATTTTCTCATTAATTTTACCCCGGAAAACAAGTGACCCCCACGTCGTTCTTTTACAAATATCACGACTTGTATTCACGATAAATGGATATTTTTTTCATCCAAATAAAGACAAGGGAGCAAGCTTTAAGATGATACCAATAACTCTACTTGCCCAAAAATTGACGAAAGCCTGATTCCACCACGATGCCTCACAATTCCTATCAGCAAGGTGACATCAGGCAGGCGAAGGTCTAAATATTGAAATAGAAGAAAACCGCATGTTTCCGTGGTCGGTGGCCTAGTGATGAGGCTACCGAACTCGTAATGGTGAGGTTGCTGGGTCGGGGGTTCGAGCCGCGGGCCCGACGTTGTGTCCTTGGGAAAGGCACTTTACACGAATTTTCCTCACTTCACCCAGGTGGGAATGGGTAC